GGCCCCCCGCCCCCCCCCCCCCCGCGGCCCCGCGGGGGCCACGGCCCCCCGGCGCGAGTTCACCCACTGCTGCAGCTGCGTCATCGAGCTCTTGCGTTGGGCGATCTTCTCGGGGTTGGTGCGGGGGACAAAGCCCCGGCGGTGGGCCACGCTCTCCCCATCGGGCGGGGGGTATGCGGTGCTGCCGGGGCGGCTGGGTGACGAGTACGGCCAGCCGTTGGGCTGGGGCGGCCGCTCCCCGCTCCCCGGCACCTGGGGCGCCTCGGGGTAAGGACTGCCGGGCTCTGAGGGCATCTCCTGCCCGGCAATGCCATTGGCTTTGGCCAAGGGCTCCTTCTTGCTCTCCATCCTCTCCGACTTCCTCTCAATCTTCTCCGAGCCACGGCCATCACCTTCCCCCCGGGTCTTGGCGTCGGGGTCGGCTTTGGGGTGCTCACGGTGGGTGGCGTTGCGGTGGTGGTGGTGGTGTTTGCTGGGGGGGATGTTTTCAGAGTCTGGCTTCTCGTGCCTGGAGGGTGCCAAGACAGGAGAGAGGGTTACCTTCCCTTTGCAATGCCCCTGGGATGGCCGGTAAAATCCTGTCCCTCCCTCAGCCTTGGGGGGCCAATGCTCCCCCAGCTCCGTTCTCCAGAGGGATGCTCACGCTCCCAGGAGGTCCCTGGTCACCATGCATGGCCCCTCCACCCCATCTCCAAGAGACCAGGGAAGAGGGGTGGCACGGGGAGACGGTGGGCACTGACCTCTGGGTCGGGGGGATCTGCACCCGGGCGGCTTCGCCCATGGCTTGGATCCAGGACTCCTGCTCCTCCGTGTTCTCGGCGCTGAAGAAGTAGGTCCGTATGCCAGCATGCTCGGCCTGGGGAGACAGGGACTGCTTGTTACTCGCTGGCATCTCCTCCACCCAGCACACCGTCACCTGCAGGGAGGCAGAGAAGTGGGGAGAGAGACAGACAGGAGGGTGAGAGCTCCATTTCCACTCCGGCACGAGGTCCTGCCGCCGCAGGAGAAGCCAGGCACGGTCCTTTCCCCCCTGCCAGAGCCTTGCGGCCACGTGCATCCTCGGCGGCACCGAGTGGGAGGAAGGCTCTGCTGGCAGAGCCAACACCAGCCCTCGTCCCGTCTCAGGGAATCCCCCGGGGCCACGAGTCCCCTGCGGTGGCTCCCAGCGATGCTCGGGACCAGCCTCCTCAGGGCCCCACGCCGGAGGAGCTGCACCCCAGCATCGAGCGGGTCCCCGCGGGGTGCACGGGGCCAGCAAAGGGTCCACGTCCCAGCAAGAGTGGCAGCGCCAGATGGAGCATTATCATTCATGCAGGGTTAGGGGGAAGGTGGCTTCTGGGCCCAGACAACATTTTGGGGGAAAAAGGTTTGCTTTTGGTCCAAGGTGTTGGTGCCCACTCTCCACCCCGTGCTGGAAGGCAGGTCTGGCTATTCAGGGCGTTTTCGAAGCTTCCACCTTCCCCCTCTCTGGAAAGGGATGGGAGGCAGCGAGGAGGAAGAAAAGGGAGGAAGCAGGAGGTTTTTCCCCCTGAAAGATGGGAAATGGGGTTCTGATTAAAACCCCCCCTTGGGTTTCCATCTTCCCCTTCCCCAGCGCACGCAGCCGTTGTGCCCAGCTGCGGGGTCACCTCCTGCAACCCCCATGCACTCCTGCCTCTAAAAGCTCTGCAGCCAGAGCAAAAGATTAAACCAAACCAATTCATCCCCTGGATTAGTGCGAGCGGGGTGAGCAGAGCATGCTGGCAAGCCTGCGGGTCCCTCACCCTTCTGCATGCATCAGAAACACAAGAAGGTACTACCTAGGTGGTGGCTGGGTGCTGGCGTGGTGGACGGGCGCGAAGAGAGACCTCCTGTCCGGGGATCCTCGCCCGCAGAGAGAGGAGGAAACACAGACAAGGGTCAAGCTGCAGCGTGGCAGGAGCGCGGGCGCTGCAGCACAGACCTCTCCTGGCCGTCGGGACCCTCTCTACCCTTCTCTGAACAAAACCATCCCCCAAAACCCTCGCGTGCAGATGGAGAGGCAGGCACGCGCCTGCAGAGCTCAGTTCGTGGGCAGCAGCTTTGCAAGGCTCTTTCCCCACCAGTGTCAGAAGCCGAGAGACATTTCGACACCCCCAGGTCACTTCTCTGCTCTCACCTGCAGAAGCCGCAGGCAGAGAGACACCTTGCCGGCTGCCAGCATCAGCACAGGCACACGGGAGAGCCCGTGCTGCCTCTTGCCAGCGCTTGCCCCTAAAGAGTGCTCAGCTGCAGCTTAAACACAGGTTTAAAGGAGGCAGCTACAAAAATGCATCCATTAGATTGGAAAAACTCCTCCACAGTGCCCTGCAGGGACCCCAGGCGCTGGCTCCTGCCGTGCTCACGAGCTTGAAGGTGTACGCTGGGTTTTTGCACAAGTGTACACGAGTGCAAGCCAGCCTGTGCATCGGTCCGTCAACAAGCAAGTGCTAACACGACCCTCTAACCGTGGGCAGCACGAGAGTTGTGCCGGTGGAGGTGCATGGTGACGCCGACAAGTGCCGCGCGGTGTCGGGGAAGCTCAGCCCCTGCTCTGAGCGAGGGGTAGCCAAGGATTGGAAAAACTCCTCCACAGTGCCCTGCAGGGACCCCAGGCGCTGGCTCCTGCCGTGCTCACGAGCTTGAAGGTGTACGCTGGGTTTTTGCACAAGTGTACACGAGTGCCCTGTGCCCTGTGCATCGGTCCGTCAACAAGCAAGTGCTAACACGACCCGTGGGCAGCACGAGAGTTGTGCCGGTGGAGGTGCATGGTGACGCCGACAAGTGCTGTGCGGTGCTGGGGAAGCTCAGCCCCTGCTCTGAGCGAGGGGTAGCCAAGGTCTGCTGCCGGAGGCGGGTGCGGGAGAGCCCCGGCTGCAGCAGCCGCCCTCCGCCTCTCACTGCTCTCCTCTCCACCACCCACGGCAGCGCAGGCTGACGAGTAGGCTACCCCCTTGCAATTACATTTCCCTTTCCTTTGCACGCCAGTCAAAGCAGGCTAAAAAACAAAGAGGAGTTGGGGACACCTCTCTAGGTCTGGCTCCAGGAGCTCTGCCGAGAAGTGCCGCAGCAGCCGGCGGGGACAGGCTGGCCGGGAGCAGCGATGTGGAGGGGAAAGCGGGGCAGGGAGAGGGTCGAGAGCACCATCGGCGAGGGCAGCGCTGCTGCTCGCCCTGCACCCAGCACCTCCCCAGGTTGGGGGGCAGCAGCGCACCCCAAGGGGCAGAGCCCAGGAGCAGCTCAGGCCTGGGATGGGTGACGACCTTGGAGATGCTGCTTTGCTCCATGCGTGCCTCAGTTTCCCAGGCAGAAGGCACATCCGCACAGCGCGCAGGGTATCCCCGGGGGTTTACTGCAGCCACCCCTCTCCCCAGCTTGCTCCACGCCCCGTCACCAAGAAAGCAAGAAGAGGGAGCAGCGGGGACCCTGCGAGCATCACCGCCACCCCAGCACTGTCCCAGTGCTCCGTCCCCTCCAAGCACTGACCTTGAACGTGTGCTTCCTGCTGATGTTGTCGGAGGGCTGCACGGCCGCCACGCGGAAGCTGAGGAGGGGGATGCTGCCCAGGATACTCTCCTCCTTCTCATCTGGTGAGCAAATGCAGGGGTTACACGCATGGAGGGGCTGGGAGCCCCAGCTGCCTCTCAGCAAAGACCCACGAGCTGCTGCGGGGACACGGGCCCATCGCTCCTTCCCGTGGGTGGGCAGGCAGGCAGCCCACCTGTGGGAAACCGCTGCCTGCCTGTTGCTCCCCTGCAGCTCTGTGCAGCTCGGCTGGGAACAGCCTGCTCAATTATTCATGCCCGCCCTGGGCTGCGCTGCCAGGGCTAAGAGCCCATGGAGCTGCCAGGGAGGCCGGGGAAGGCGCCTGCATTAACCCCTCGGGACCCTGGTGTGGCAAACGCCCGCACAAAGGGGTGCTGTGATGGCCACCGCTCCCTGGTGGGCTGTCACCTCCGGACCCCTTTGCCCACGCTGGCAAAACCTGCTCCGAGCCTGGTAACAGCCCGGGGTTTGCTTGCAGGTGCCCAGCTGGTGGCCACTGGGTCCTGCCGGGGGGGCAGGAGCCACAGCGGGCACCCAGGGCAGGTACTCACTGACGTACCTTTGTAGTAGAAGAGGCAGCGATCCACCAGCACGAACCAGCGCTTGTTCCACTGCTTCACCCCCGAGCTGGCCTGCGAGAGAAGGGCAGTGAGAGCAGCACCCACCTGGGGAAGGGGTGCTGCCGCAGGTGGCAGGGAAGGGGATGGCACGGCCCCGGGGGGGCACCCGGCATGGCGGGGGCTCAGGTACCTGTTTGTAGAGCCAGCCGCTTTTGGTCACGGTGGCGTTGGGATTCCTCTTCATGGAATTGGAGCGCTTCCCGAAGGCGATGCCCTTGCGGGAGGAGCGCGAAGCCTGCAGAGGGGGAGAGGAGCCGCTCAGTCCCCGGGGGGGCCCCCGGCACCCCATCTCCGCTGCCGCCTGCCGTGCCGCATGGCTCCGGGCACCCACCCGGCCTCCGGGGCGCTCCGGGGGCACCTCCGACACCATGGCGTGGTTGGAGGGCTCACTGGTGATGGTCGCTGGTCGCTTGCCGCCCGCTTTGCTTGACATGTCCAAGGTCAGTCTGCGGCACAGGAGGAGAGCTGAGTCAGCAGAGCTGCGTTTTTCCACCCCGCAGAAGCTGGCCCCTGGCATCCTCGCCCCGGGCACCGACCCCCCACGCCCCAGCCCACCTTGGTGCCCCATCAAAACCCACTCCCAGGCCCTGAAACCAGGGGAGTCGGGAGCCAACCTACTTTTGCAAGTCAAGTCTTGAGTTGTCCTCGGGGATCTGTCCCGTCACTGGGTGCAGGAACGTGTTCCGCCTTTCATTGTGGCTGTGAGAGACAGCAGCGGGGCGGCGGTTAGC